AAACATATATTTTTTTACTTTTTTCTAACAATATACTTTAAAGAACTACCATGATTAATGACACAGTTTTAATTAAAATATATATATATATATTTTTTTTTTTCTGAGGGTGACTGCTTAGAGAAACGGAGCCAAGAGGGGAGCGTTCTGGACTTGTTTGTGAGAATGACTTCAGCATTTCGATTCATGTTTTACCCCAAGCATCTTGTGTGCATTTTTAATGTTTAATTTTGTGTATGTTCGCCATGAGCAGAGTTACAGTGCCGGTTCCTTGGTACTGCAGTTCTCAGAAGCTTTAGAAAGTTCACGGCGCTACACTTAACCTTGCAATATTAGCCAGAACTCCCTGGAAATGCAGTAAGTCAGAATTCCTGGGAATGGCTTATGCACTCCTGTTGTCTCTTGGAGAATGTGACATTAACCCTTGCAGCAATCTTTCACCTTGCACCTTGTCTTTGCTTTCTCTCACTCATCTCCTCCTGCCTCTGCCTCTTTCTCCTTTCCTCCCTTATTCTGCTCTGTTTTTTTCCCCTAATTTAAAAGTAGTTGAAGCATTCTTTAAATATTTATATTTTTCTAAAAAATTGTTGATAGAGAGGCAGAGAGAGACAGAGAGGAAGAGAAAGAGAGTACATCCTTTGGTTCACTTTCCACATCGCTGCAACAGGCAGGGCTGAGCCAGTCCAAAGCTGGGGAGCCAGGAGCATCTTCCAGATCTCCCGCGTGGATGCAGAGGGCGGTGGACGTGGATCATCTTCTGCCTTCTCAGAAGTGCAGCAGCACGGACTGGAACCAGGACTCCCACATGGGCTGGTGGCCTGGCAAGCTGTGGGTTCAACTGCTGCTCGGCAACATGGACCTCAACATCTTGAACTTGCTAATGAAGTGAGGCCGTGAAGCTATGGGTTTGGAATTGGGTGCTCCCTGCTCTATTACTCTGAATTTCCTTAGCTCCACTTCTTTCTGCACGTAAGGTTGTGCCTTTTCCAAAGCCCTTGAGGAGATGGGAATGAGAGTTGTGCTAATTTGGTGCATACACCTTATCCATACACCAGTGTGTCACCTTACACTCTCTGAGTGTGTCCAGATGGGATGTGTGGACAAGCAGTGTGGACACCATTCCTGGTGGAGGCCTTTTTGAGCCCTGTTACCAAACTGTCTTTTCCTGTTTTGGACATGAACTATATTTTGCTTACCTCAATATCCAGTCAGGTGTCGTGGCTATTCATTTACTGAATTCTGTTACCAATCCCAGATTCTTTGGCTCACTTGCAAAGAGAAATTGACAAGAGATCAGCATGCAACCCAGGAGTGGTTTGGTTTGGGCTTCTGCTCCAGCTAGGAGCAAGAGGTTCCATGACAGGATCAATGAGGGGAGTGGGCAGGGCTTTTCAGTGGGTTGAGGGGTGTGGCTGTGACCCTTCCGCGCATGCGTCCTGGGTACAGGACACGTCACCTCTGCAGGGCAGCTAAGCAAGCAGTACAAGTACGCTTGTTTCTGCTTGTTTTGCACATAATATGCTGAAGATGGCTGTGCTGCTCAGAGCAGTGATCCCAGGAAGGCCACGTGTTAGCTGAGCTAGGCTAGTGTGGACGTGTGGACAGTCTGAAGGCCCTGATCGGGCGGGAGGGTGGTGCTCATCGTTAGTGACAAATGTTCCTTGCTGACACTTGGTAGGCAGCTAGAGCTAGACACACAGGTCAGGAGATGCGCACACACAGGGCTGGGATGGGCGTCACTCAGTGACTCCTCTTTCAATCTGGTCTCAATTGTTCCATGAGCCACTTCCCCCACCACTGTTTTTGGTTTTTCATTTGGTTTCTTTTTAATCACTGTGGATCTTTGCTAACTATCTCTTAACCAACCAAATCCAAGAGGTATCTGCTGGATTCCTTAGCACAGAAGACAATCGGCATTTGATTTTATTCAGAAAACTCCAGGTCATATGATGCTATTGTGTTGTTTGTTGGTTTTACTGGAATCTGCAAAACAACTGTTATGTCTTACAACAAGGGAACCCACAGTACAGGCACGCAGTGTCCCCCAATACCCAGTCCACCTCCACGGCTAAAGGTCAGGCCTGGATCCTCCCCACTCAGGTGGGCTGGCTGACATACCATTGGACACGTTCATTCATAGACAAAACCTGACCAACAGCAGTGGAGACTGATGCTTCAGGGAGTGGTTAACACTTTTATTTCAAAAGGCAGGATATTGTACATAATACTTTCAGAGAAAATAATTAAGATACCACAGTTAAATGAATTCCATAGTTTTCCACACAGTAATAAGCATGTTTACAATCTTTCAAATGTGAATTCATTCCAACTTTATTCAAATGCAACGCCATTTCACCGGGATCCGAAGGGGTGATTTCTGCCTTTCACAAAAATTAACCCTTTTCCAGATGTTTATTTATCCTCAAGTTGTACAGCCTCAGTGTGTGTTACAAGGGTTTGGTATTTTACCCCATGATAAGTTCTGCTTTGCACATTTCTAAGGGGGGGGGGATTACGTGTGCCATGAAAATTCCATTTTCTTTTTTTTTTCCCCAACAACCTATAGAGAACAAACTCATATTAACACAAAAAGAAACGGAGCCATCAAAAAGTCTTATCTCCTCCTAGCAGAACACAGTCAGAGATTCAAAGCAGATACCTTGGTGACCATTACCATGGCTTCCCAGTCTCTACAGAAAGAAAAAGACAGAATACAGAAATAAAGGCTGCAGTCCCTTCTCGCTCATGGAGCTGGAATCCTTGCCTGCAGTGGGCTGTCTCTGTCCGTGCGAAACCTCCGAGCCTTGCCTCTAAGCTGCTGGCTACGGCTGGTTTCCAAAGTGCTTCACGTGACATTTCTTTTTCTACTTCCTGCAAATATTCCATCAGAGTCAGTGACCAGCACCTTTCATATTAAATGCACATGGTATACACAAGGAATAGAAAAATACACTTCTGTACTTTAAAATTTCTGGGTCGACACAGATCCCATCATTCATACTTCGTAGCAGCATGGGTATCCAGACATGTTCTGCAGACCCTCTGTTCACCAGTTCAGTTTTTGGCAGTGTTTAGCAGAATGTCCGTCTCTCTTTGCGCCTTCCTCTGACTCCCGTCAGGTCCAGTGTCAATCTCACTGAAGAACTTTATCCACTTGATTCCATCATGTCTACTGCACCGAAAAGAAGTTGATCCAACAGCAAAAACCTACACACACACACACACACACACACACACACACACACACGAAAAGCTTCCACCTTGTAAAGCTAACATTCACTCTTCTATATTTTAGCATGCCATAGACCTTTCTGTTAAGAATTCTCCTGAAAAATAGACATGTTCATCATGTGAAGCTGTCATAAAAATACAGTGACTATCCTCAGTGATTTTAAAACCATCATAGTAAATTTTTAAAACTGCAGCAACAGTGGACCTTAAGGGCAATCACATCAGAATCTGTAGAAAGTGAGCCGGACAAGGTCAAGTTTAATCCATACTTGGACATTTATGATTGGTACCAATGAATCTGAGTATACCCAATGAATCTGACTCATCCAGGTGTGAGTCACTACCTTGGCACTAAATCCAGCCATCTGTCCACACTTCAGAGTGGCTGGGCAACATGGCTTCAGGGCTGCAGTCCCCAGGGCAGGCTGTGATGGTGGTTTCACTCCACTGTCTGTCTGACAGCTTTGGGGTCCACAGACAGGGGTGTAGACTGGTGACACAGATCATGCCGTCTTTCAACTACGTACCACGAGAGGCAGCCAGGGAGCCATGCATGCTGTACTGAATGCAAATTATTTGCAACAATTTGTGGCTGTGCAATATGTTTTTGACCAACTATCTTCATGCCCAAGGTAGAAAATTTTGTCAGTTCATGAGAAAATATTAACTGTCACCATAGATACACAAATTTGTGTGTGTGTCTGTGTGTAATATATAAATCTGTAACATTCAGGAATGCCTTCAGTGCTGTTTTGAGGTTTCTTTTGGTCCGGATAATTGTGCTGCCAAACAACTTCTGGTATTATATCAGGGCAAGTGATTGCTGTATTAATTTGCAATCGTAATCATGGTTTTCCTGGGAATGCTAATTCCTGGGAGTTCTAACTTTACTGAAAAGCTTTTGTTTTTAAAGCAATTAAACTTACTGTTGATTGATATTTACCATCCAATGTTCCTGGAACACTAAAAGAATATGCTTTCTACATAATCTATTACAGCGCATTGCTTGAGAGTAGCTATTTAATATAACAGCATTCAGTTGAGTTTTCAAACCAAAGAACTAAAATTATAGCAATTTCACTTGAAATCTATAAATCCATGCACAAGATTGTGTTCAACAGAATCACGAAACATTATTTGTTGTCTAAAGATGAATGAATCAATAGAAAAATAGAATTGATAAATCATTGACACTTTAACGCAGAGTGGAGAGGAGAACTAGTAAATCATGCATTTCAAGCACTTGTTTTCATTTTGGTATGTTTGGAAACATAAAACATGCAGTGATGAGATGCAGGTCAGTATGAGTGAACAATACCACAACTGCACAGGGCTGTGTTCATTGTAGGTTGTAGCCTTAATGAAACACTTTAGAAAAGGACCACTGTATGTCCTCTTTATACAAGCAGAGAGTCCAGCCTCCACTCACGGCATGAACACCTCTGGCATGGATCTAAGCCACCGCTGGCAGATAAACATTTGGAATGTCATAGTGAGAAGAGGGGGGGAGTGGGAGGATATGGATTGCATGCATGAGTTACTTCAATGAGCTCAGTGTTCTTAAAGGATCCCAAAAGGAACAGATAGAAGTATTCATTTCCTTCAAGTATACGTAACCACGCCATGAGAAAATTACAGACAGGTGTATTTATAAATGACCAAAAAAGCAAGAAACCAGCTTTGAGCCTTGATTGTGTTGGATATCACTGAATGTGAGATGTGAGAATTTAGACCTAACTCATGGGCAACTCTCTTTCTCCCAGCATACCAATCAACGCATGATTTATCATAATACTCTGAATTAATTATATGCATTCATCCATTTCTCTCAAGCATCTTTTTTTTTTTGAATCTTTGGTGGGAAAAACATTAATTAGGCACATTGTTTAAAACATCTATTTGGTTATTGTTGTGGTTCTGGATTTTCTTGTAGATTCTCCTGCAGAAAGTGATATGACCACACTCCACTGCCAAGCAGCAAGTTTCCACCGATTTCTGGAGTTAAAAACAAGCTAAGCAAAAATCACTTTGTTTTCCATCACAAGATAACTTCACACCTGACATTTTAATTTCCACTCAAAAGAGTTAAGATGTTGAAGGAAGAAAAGCTATGTAGGTTTAGCAAGATAATTGTAGACAACTATTTAACAGAATTATTGAGTTCAAAGTCTCTGTCAGGGTCCGTCAGATCATGGACACACCGATTCTAAAAGGGAAAAGCGTGGCAATCTACAATTATGATCATTGCAGCTTTACTGATAGCACTTATTAATATTTGGAATGACACTAAGAATCACATTTCTCAGTATTCCTTTTGCATGTTTTACAGATTTTTTTTTTTCCAATGGATTAGTAGAGAGAAAGTGAGTAAGACCGGGCTGGGAAACAGACAAATCTATGGGAATGCATGCAACAAAAATATGTAGTATTACTTCATGTAAACCGCCTTCCTCATGCAAAGATGCTATGAAAACTGAGACGATACATGTTACATTAGCTCAGTAACAAAAACGGCTAAACCAATTCCATGATTTTTGCATGAACAGGAGACTTGAATTGTTCAAAGATTTCCAGCATACGTGTTCCACGGCCCAATTACGCGAATTGAATTTCTAGGAAGGAAATGATGCATGATTATTCCTTGCTCCGGTTTCTTGTTCTCTTGACGAGGGAGCAGAACAACCCAGTTTTGGGAGGAGGGCCCATCAGCATGGGGGCTTGGTTCTTGTGTGTAATTTTTATCTGAGAGAGAAAGAAAAAAAAAAAAAGGAGAGAGTAATTCCCACACTGTTGATTTCTGATGGTCTCTGCTGAGGTTAACACTCGTTCATGAGTTGCTGAAACATGGCGACCTTCAAAATGTCTATCATTTCAACAACTTTAAAATATGAAAAGTATCGGATGAGGATACGCAGGTAAGGCATATTCCATATCTTGGAGTATTAATGCAAAATAAAACCCAGCTAAAGTGATTTTAAGTACTCTGTTGCCACTAACTTCACTTGAGTGGTCACTCTCAGAACTCCATTGTGGACCCTGCAGTGGGTGACGCTGCTTCCTGGCCCTCGGAAGGCTGCCCCCGGACAGTGGCAGAATCCCGGTGCCCATCCAGTGGGAGGATGTGCCTGGTACCCAGCACGGTGCACTGAGCTTGGTAATCAGCTTGTTTCCTTCTTTCCACACGGACTGCGAGATTTCATTTCAAAAATAATCGTTACGGATGAAAGTCAGAAGCTATCAGGCAAAAAAGGTCAGGGATGATAAACTTGCCTTTTAATTTGTTAATTAATTGGTAATAGAATAGAATCAAATATTGAAAATCTTGCCTAAAACGCTTACAGAGACTGGTCTTAAGCTACTCGTTTTGATTTCTTTGATATAAAACTACGAACCCTCTTAAATGAGGCAACCTTAAAGTAGATTATGCCTGCAATTTTCTCTAATTCAACTCTAAATGAGAGAAGACATTTTATGAATCTATGCTATGCTCAAAGCTAATTGAAAGCAATTATCAAAGTGGCATTTTGTCTGTGACTTTAAGATACATTGTAAGATAATAAATGGTTCTCATTATGTAATAAAAAGGTCATATCTCGCCTTTGGGCTAGTGATGCTGAGGGTTTTTCAAAAGCAATCTGAGACATTTTCTTTGGTGAACTGCGACTAATACAAGAGCCATCGCTTATTAAATACCAGTTGTCACCTGTACAGCATCCGCATCAGAGATGAGCATTTCTTTCAAAAAGAAACACTGGCTCATTAAAAGCTGCAAAAAAAAAAAATTATCTCTTAAAGTGCATGTCTGACATTTTCAAGCTAAAATGAATATCCTTCACTTGTCACTCTGTAGCAGAAATGAAGAAAAAAAATAATAATACATGCATAAAGGGTGTCATGCGAGCAGACGCGTTACCATTGACACTGGGTAGCCGAGGATTTAGAAATTTACTTCATGGCCTAGAAAGACACGGAAGCAGTGGAAAGTCCTGAAGGAAAGAATGATTCTATTTAAGTCTGTTGGAATCAGGTTATTCTGGAAAGACCCAGTATTTTCTCTTTTTTTTTTTCCTCAATAAAAACCAAGTGCACCTATTAAGGGTCACACTAAGCTAAACTGACCCCTGTACTCTCTGGATAGCTGGCTTTATTTTATTGTTGTCATTATACAAACTGGGAAATTGATAGTCATATTACTAATATATCAGAAATTACCTACACATGTGGACTGAAAATGATCTGTATCAGACTTTATTCTTAATAATTCAGCTTTAGGCTATACCCCTGTGTTGGTTATGAAACTCCTCTGAATCTTAGCTTTAAGACAGGGGCCAATGCAGCATCAGCCATTACATATTCATGAAATGTATTAAGCCCCCTGTATACTTCAGATGCTGAAGTATGCTTCAGACCTTAAGTATGCAATGCATTATTTGTTCCTTAGAGACCATGATCAAGAGGGAAAGAGGGCCTGAACACTGATAAAGGCCGCTAAACAGAAAGACACTATTTGAAATGCTGCATTAGAAATTGAATCATTTCATAAAGAAATGTCACTTTTAAATGAGTGTCTATGGGCGCAATTATCACACACTACTTACATGATAAACATATTAAATTGGAACATGAGCAACTAAAGAAACAAGGTAGGCATTTCTGATGTACAGTTGCTGGACTAAATGTTCTGAGATAAAAAATAATACTAGAACGTTTAAGAAAATAAGGGGATGGGGCATTGTGACGTCACAGGTTAAGCTGCCACCTGCAATCCAACATGTGTGTCAGCTCAAGGTCTGGCTGCGTTCTGCTAGTTCAGCTCCCTGCTATTGTGTATGCTAAGATTTGGGAAGAAATCTTTCTAGTCAAGTCCTTAAATTCAACATCAGTGTATAACAGATCATAGGTTGTCACCTAACTATTATACATGACACCTTGTCTTTGTGCTTGAATTTTGTTTGATCATGCTATCCTTATATCGGGAACCCACTTGTTAAAAAGTTTGGTAAAATATATTCACTTGAAAGAGAGAGAGAGATCTTCCATCTGCTGATTCATTCCACAAATGGCTGTAATATGTAATGGCAGGGGCTGTGCCAGACTGAAGCCTGGAGATTCATTTGTGTCTTTAATGTGTGTCACACGGACCATGCACTTGTTTCCTAGGCTCAATAGCAGGGAGCTGGGAGGGAAGTGGAGCAGCCTGGACTAGATCCCAGCTGCTCCTGTGGGATGGCAGAGTATCAGGGAGTGATACTTGCTGCCTAGCAGCTCCTGGAAGTCCTTTATCAATTGCATGTTCTTTCTTTGAACAATAGCATAGTCATTCAGTATGCTTGACCCAGTGACACTCAAGTGTGTTGCTGTTACATAATCTCTCCTGCCAAATCAAATTGTCTATAACCTGTCTTCTTGGTTGTTTAACCAATTCTAGGATCAAATCACATGGCCTTTTATTTAATCTAACCTAATTTAAAAAAAATGAGAGACCTCTCTCATTTTTCCTGTTGTTGGTGATCAACTTGTCATTTCTTCTTGGTTGGGGGAGAAAGCACAGATCAAACTGACAGTTATGAAAGGCTTGCTGTTTACCAAGTTACCTGTAGCCATGACCTCACGGGATCACCAAGTGTCCCTGTACATTTAGTCGGAAACAAAAAGTGCCCCCAAGAAGGATGCGAAAGACTCTGGCTCAGAGGATGTTGGTGGTATTACAGGAAGTCCGTGTGTCAGTTTCAGGAAGCTTGAAGTCCAGGCTCAGCCTGCTCACAAATTGTGTCACAGTGACATAGTGGCTTGTCTCCTGGACACTCAATAACGGTATGCACATCATCGCTGTTCTTTAATGTCCCTTTCAATAGAAAAACAGCAACGATTGAAGACTCCAACTGCAAAATCTTTAGGACGTATCAACTTTCTGCAGTCTGAAGGACACAGATTAACGGTGAGACTCTGAATGCCAGTACTTTCTTGTTAGCTTTTGGTTGTTCCTTGAATAATCAACTCTTCACTGAGCACTGTTTATGGGTAGTGCATTTTACACCTTTAGTGTGTTTAACTTCTAAGAGGTTATAAAAGGGAATTGTGAGCAATCAGAAAGAATGGCGAAGGGGCTCCTAGAAGCTGGAATGTTCGCCTGAAGAGCCGCAGTGCTGTAAAATACAAGATGGGAGTGGATGTATTGGTGCTACGGGTGTAGACTCTGCTCAGACACATGTATCACACAGTGCAGTGCCTAGGATGCAGTGCAGCATTGCTTCCTGTCTCATTTCTTACTGGTGTACACCCTGAGAGGCAGCGGGTGAGGGCTGAAGCGCTTGGCTCTTTATCGCTCATGTGGGTCATCGGGATGGAATGCCAAACTTCAGGCTCAGCCTGGTCCTGATCACTGAAGCCACTTGGGGAGGAAACTAACATATTGAAGATTTCTCTTTCTCACCCCCAGCCTCCTTGTAAAGTAAATAAATAAATAAAACTTAAAGAAGTGTAAGATTAAACACCATGGCTGCCAAGTCGAATGCTGTCCTGTACAGCTCTGAGTTTGACTGTCATGGCATCCTTCTATTGGTGTCCTTACATCCTTATATCGCTTTCTTCAGAAAGCAGATGGAGGAAGAAGTCACTCCCGCAGCCCTGGACTCTGTGTTTCTGCTCTTTTATTTCACTCAATACTTTCCCACATCTAAAAACTGTAACGGGGACAAAATTTGTTTTCATGTTTAGTATGGTTTCACTTTACTTTTAATATGAATAAGAAATGAGCACAAGGTAATCGGTGATCAGATCAAAGACTGTAAGACATGCTTTTCTTGTTTCCATCACATTCCCAAAGATGCGAAGCGTGATGGTCCCACTTCATAATTGTATTATTAAAAACAATAGCATAAATATATGTAATTGCTACTTGTCAACTTAAAAAGGATAACTAGGGCCTGCACTGTGGCAAAGGAGGCTAAATCAGTGCCTGCCACTCTGGTGTCCCCTCGGAGTGCTGCTTTGAGTGCCAGCTGTTCCACCTCCTATTTAGCTCCCTGCTAATATTCCTGAGAAAGCAGCACAGGATGGCCCAGGATCCTGCACTCATGTGGGAGACCCAGTTAGGGATTCAAGCACCAGCCATTTTGACTATTCGGGAAGTGAGCCAGCAGATGAAAGTTCTCTCCCCTAGCCCATTCCCACTTTGTGTGTGTGTGTGTGGTGTGTGTGTGTGTGTGTGTGTGTCCCTCTCTATAGCTTCAACTTTCAAATAAATAAATCTTAACAAACAACAATGGTAAAGGTAGTAAGAACATTATTTGACTCTTACATGAAGCTAAGCTTTATGCTCTTAGTCACTCTTTGCCCTCAACCAAATCCACCCTCAGAAAAACATCATGGAGAGGTGTCAAACTGAAGTTCTATTTCATAGAGGGAAAGAGGAGTGATAGTGTGTTACATCACATTTGATATTCAGATTCTCCAAAGACTTTCTTAATTCTAACCAAGGTCGCTGGGAAGCTAGGTGAGTCTTCCTTCCAGACAGTGTTTGCCCCAGATGGTCAGTTGTTTCTTTTCTTGGGTCATGTTCCTTAGTATAAAACATCCCCACCATCTTTTCCTGTGACAAGTAGCATTTCTCTTTCTCATGTGTCCTGAAGACCTTGCCCAGCAGCTCTTTCCTAAGAGGTGAAGAGATCAAATCTACTTACCCAGGAGCGTATGAATTCATTTATGGGAGATTGGAATGGAGGTAGACTTAGTCCCTTTGA